ATGATCCACAAGTGTCCAAATAGCTCATCTTAATTTTGAACATATATCTAGAATGAATACAGGCAAAGTGAGACATTTCAGTTTAATCGTCTTCATTAAAATCAGCATTAAGTTAATAATATTCGGAATGACACAAAGGTTTTTTTTTTTTTTTTTACCTCATATCAAGGTGACACAGAAGGGTTTCTTAACATCAAGGTGCGTGTCATCATACCACATGAGAACAGTAAGGGTGGGAAACATGGAAGGTACAATGACAAAGCCATGTACAATTAAATAAATTAATTAATAAAATATAATTTTAAGGTTACGGTTATGAACAGTCAGTTTTGTGACTGTTGTTCTGGTATGGGACACAAGTGTGAATCAGATTTTCCTAAAAGGAGAGGGTTAGAAATGCTTGCGTACAGACACGGTTGGAATCCAGCTGTGAGATAAACTACTCATCATTGCTGCGGTGCTGAAGATGTGACGAGTCCATTCTGAATCGTTTGCGTCTCGCGCCATCTATTGCCAAAAAAAAACTATAAATCTTCATTTTAGCTTGTCATAAACTTGTGCAAGCTCTCCGTCCATAGTAACATTTCAGAGAAGTTTTGTGAACCGAATAAACCGATTCATTGAAAAGAGCAGACTCAACCGAGCGAAGATTCAAACTAAAGTCGTGGTATTTAGAATTCTATTACAAACCAACGCGTAATAGACATATTATGACGTAGCCTGTGCCGATGCGAGTAATTTGAACGTTAGGGAAACATTCAGTGTTTGCTGGGCCTTTTCTTTTATGTAGCTTTTTGTTTGTCAGTCAGTTAAAAAAAGCCCAGCAATAGTGATTCAGAAAGAAGAAAAATATCCCCGTGATAATGATTAAAACTTTAAAAATAGCCAGCATGAAGCATTGCGAATGATGTAATGTCAAATAAAATAAATAAATAAAATTATGTATTGCTTTTATAGATAGATAGATAGATAGATACGCATAAACACACACACACACACACACATTATCATAAAATGATGTTGTATTTCTATCTTTCACCAAACATTTTACCTTGAGGCACTTCACTGAATTTGTACTTAGAAAAAAAAAAAAAAAAACAAAATGTGCCGGGGGACAAAATGTTAAATATA